AATCCCTAAACCCTAAACCCCGCTTGTGGACTGAAGGCTTGGAGGCAAAGCATTCGCCTGGCTTGAGCCTGAGCTTGCGGAGCGCAGGAAAGTGCTTCACTAAGGCTAGGGTTCATACTGTAGTATATTCCTAGTATTATACGTATTTACATATATATATATAGATATATAGGGTATTATAGTATATAATGATATATGATAGTATATTATTGTAAGGTTTAGGTCCTCGGGGTTAGGATCCCTAAGCCCCTAAACCCATAAACCCCTTAGTCCTAGATCCTACATCCTAAACCCCTAAGTCCCAAATCCTGAGCCCCTAAATCCTAAATCCTAAACCACGCCAACAACATCGGCACCCTCTTGGCTGCAGCCGGTGCGCGCAAGCCAGCCTGCATTCGCTCCCAACCAGATGAGCTATAGTCTAAACTCCTTGGAGGGAGTTTTATATACCCCAATAACGGAGAATCAAATGGAATGGAATAATGGAAACTGCTAAATCCAGGGGTATATAAGGATTACATGAGCTATAGTCTAAATTCCTTGAAGGGGGTTATATAGGGGATTCTATAGGGTTTAGGGTCTAGGGTTTAGGGTCTAGGGTTTAGGGTTTAGGTTTTTGGATTTAGGATTAGGATTAGGATTTAGGGTTTAGGGTTTGACTCCTGAATGGGGCCAAAAAAGGTATTATTTACGGGAGTATTGTAGGGGTTACTAAGCGGGATGCTAGGAGTTTAGACTGTAGCTCAGATGCTTAACCCTGAAACGTTGACAGAAATGCTGATGGAGCTACATGCTGCTTGCGCTGGTAGCACCCTAAACCCGAAACCCTAAACCCTAATCTCTAAGAAGCCCTCAGGCTTTGCAATCTTGATTTTAATTGCAAAAGTTATCAAGGGTGAGAATGGAGAATCAAATGGACAATGAAATGGAAAACATTTCCAAACCCTGAACCGCACACCCTGAAGAAGGACTTTTTCCCATCAATACAGAATCACATGGAAGGCATATAAAGCAATCCCCTATAAGCCCAGTTTCCATTGATTTGTCCACTCCCTTTTCCATTTCAGGCACAATTGTTGGGGTAATACCCCTAAACCCTAAATCATACAAAGTCTTTCCATCTTTCTTTCGATGCCCCAATGTCCGTATGTAACCCCCATATCCCCAATAATGTCCTTGTTTCCAACAGCTTTTCCATCCCATAAACTTAATTAAATGCCATTATCTCCCTTTACCCTAAACCCTAAACCCTAAGCCACTAAACCCTAAACCCTAAGCCCTAAGCCACTAAAACCCCTTTAAAGGGAACCCCTTAGTCCCACTGCTTCCCAGGTGGCACCGGAGATTCCTGCTCAGGCTGTGTTGAGTCAGGCAAGCTCCCTAAGCCTAAACCTTAAACATTAATCCCTAAACCCGAAACCCTAAACCCTAAATCCCTAGACCCTAAATCCCTAAACCACTTCTCTGGTAATAGTGTGCTGGGACCTAATTCCATATATATATATATATTACAATCAGAAGATCCTTGAGACAGCACGCCTGGCGCCAATGCGCGCAGAGCTATTGCGCGCCCGGCATTAGCAAAAAATCCCTAAACCCTAAACCATCAAGTGTGTCCAGGGCTCATCATCAAGGTGCAAGACTGACGGGGTGGGAGGGTAGTTAGGGTTTAGGGTTTGGGGTGTAGGGGTTTAGGGTCTAGGGGTTTCCAAAAATCATGGATCCCTCTAAAAAGGATTGTAAGATATTGGGGTCAAAATTAGGGTTCCTTCATCATGGAAACTACCATATCATCCCCATATAATAATACAAATCTTTTGATTCTGCCTTACCAAGGGGGGTATACCTTCAACCCCTAAACCCTAAATCCTAAACCCTAAACCCCTAAAGCCTAAACCGCCGACAGTAGACTTGCTGTCAGGAGGACACCCGCATCATCGAGCCCAAGAATCTTTTGGCTTCGGAAAGGCCAGATGGTGTGGGGTTTAGGGGTTTAGGGTTCCTGGGTGTAGGGATTTGGAGTTTAGGGGGTTAGCGGTTTACCAGACGTGTTGACGGAGTTCTCGCCAGACAATGTTGGAGAAGAGTAATTTGGTATGTCAGGGGTTGGGTACTGCCCCCCCCCCTCAATAACAGTTGGACAATAGTTATAGTATGGTTATATACAGCCCTTAATTGGACCCCTAATATAGACTGTTACTGGTGGGGGGGACAGTACCCAAGTCAGGTATGCAGGTCTCCCTTAGGGGTTCTCACCTGATAGCTACCTGCATGGAACTCGAGCTGACGTAAGTCCAGGTTTAGGGTTTAGGGTTTAGGGGTTAGGCTTTTGGAGGTTTGAGCCTGATACAACTCTCACCTCATCTGGGTTGCTGTTAGGGAATTTAAGCTAAGTTACCATAACAGGTATATATAGTAATTATTACGGTTTTTCCAAAAAAGTAACTTAAAGGAAGTTCCGTAACAAGAGCCCAGTTATTGTCCAGTCCTGAGAGCAAACTGGTGCCTTCTAAGTGCCAGGGGGCTAGACCTTTTTCACGCTCGTCATTCGTATCGGGGTCATATAGGGATAATGGAAAAGAAAATGGAAACTACCATATCATAACAGGGTCTATACTGGGTTATAGTATGGAATAAGGGGATATGTTGGGGTAATATGGCGATTATGGAAACTACTATGTTATAATAGGGAATACATTGGGGTAATTTGGTGTTGCCGATCTTGAGCTTTTGCCTGACCATGTCTTGAATTTGTCGAGACGAGGAACTAACAGTAGAGTATTGAGAAATCATTCAAACAACTCGCGTTGCATGAGCCAAGTCCAAGACTCTGAGGGTGCTTCGGTGGATACTAAAAATCCTGCATGACCCTAAGTACCATATACCTTTCAAAATTATAGTACTATAGTATATTAAGGTCATGCAGGATTTTTAGTATCATCAGTTGTTCCAGGGCAGTTAAGAGGTCTGGATTGGAGACCTTGCAACTAGCACTGCAGGACCATGCTGGAGTGGATGCACACCGTCTTTGCGCTGGCTGTGATAGCTATAGGCCAGCAATGCGCGATGCGTTCTTAGAATTGAGAAGTCTGGCATCAAAGGGATTCCCTTGCAAAAGCGCAACCTGGATGATTTTGACCACTCGCCTGGACGTTCAATTTCTTTCATGTTCTAGACTGCGCAGCCGCAGTTTACACCTGGTCGCCTTTGGGAGGGCGTTAAATTGCAGTTGCATCAGGTCCTGACCGACCTGCAGAGAGCAATGTGCTGGCTCCCCCTCAAAAGCGCATTCAAAGTGCATAAGACTCTGAAGCTGCTAGAATGTCAGAGACGGTCACAATCTTGAGCTTGCAGCGATGCAAATTCTGGTGTTGACAGGCCTATGGCGATATAGCCTCACTGGACACATGCATCATACGAAGGGTTTGGACAATTCCGAGTGCTGGCCTGAGTTGCGGCTTTGGTAGGCTGCTGCTCAGATTGTCAAGGCTAAGAGCCCTTCGTTAAGGACCCTTGCAATCGCTGAAACAGGAACCTGTTTGATGTGTGTACGATATTGAACTCATCAAGGTCTTGGCCCCCCTCCAGTAACATGTTTGCTGCCCTAGGGTCCAGCCAGAAGCCGCAGATCCTCAAAACAGCAAACCCTACAGCCCTAAACCCTAAGCCCTAAGCCCTAAACCCCTAGACCCAAAACATCTTGCTACCTTTTCAAGGGAAGTTCGTGGAGTGTGGATCAACACCTCGAGCAAGTCGCGAGTCGTGTTGCTGGCCTTCAAGTAGGTAAAGTGCACACAAGCTTCCTATCCCACCAACGTTTCCATGCATTTTAGGTTTAGGGTTGACAGGCCTAAGCCCTAAACCCTAAACCCTAAACCCAGAAGGGCCACCTTTGTTGGCTGTTCGTATTAATGCCGACGTGGAGTTTTAGGCCCAGGCCAGCAGTTGGCAACTCTGACAACTAGGTCGCTACGTTCTGCATGCCCTGTCTGCAACGGTGCACCTTTCACCTTCTATCCAGGGATGCGGGTAGAGTGCGCTCGTGCGGGTTACCTGCGGGTTCGTGGAGTGCATGATCCCATTTGGGTAGTTCCCAAAATTAGGGTCCCATTTTGGCACCGCAACTATTTGGTGCCGTGCTATCATCCACAACCAGGAGGAACCCATCCCACTTCTGCACAAACGAGATGTGAACCATTCCAATATTTAACCAATCTAACTTCCAAAAATATGTGTACTGCGTGTATATATATATATATGCTACCCCCCAGGTACCATATATATATATATACGTATATGCATACACATGTATGTTTGGGAGATTATATATATATATATATGTATAGTCCAGCTTCTCAAGACCCCACAGCTCCTCATCTAACGCCCTAAACCCTACACTCTAAATCCTAAACCCTAAATCCTAAACCCTAAACCCTAAACCCTAAATCCTAAACCCTAAACTCCTAAACCCTAAAACCCATCTGAGGCTAGGATGCTACGCTCTTTTCCTGGTGCTGCTTTCAGTTTGCTTCGCCTGGTACGCTGTGGCTTCGCGGTCATTTGAGCAGTAGATCGGATCCCCCAGACCTGGTGCAGTGAGCCTACAACACCAGCCCAGGTAAGCAATGCCCAAGCAGAAATACAAGCCTAAGCTCAACTCAGTGGTGGTATTTTATTTGGGGATCCTACAGACCCCGAGTAAAGAGGAAGGTTGGGTCCTCCTTTTTAGTTGCAGTACTTCAAAAGAAGAACATCCTCCTACCTGGTTCAAGGACACCCCCCCCAAAAAACCTACTTGCCTTAGCCCCAAGCCAACAGCAACCATTGCAGCTAGGAGCCTTATATTATGTATAACCCCTATATAACCCTTATATTACCCCTGTATACCCCTCTATGATAACCTTGTATAACCTCTACATAACCCTTATATTACCCCTATGTACTCCCATATTTCGAACCAAACTACTGAGGTAGTTTCCCATCTCCAGCGCATCAGAGCATTGGTTAAGCCGCCGGGCTGTTTTTGGATGGTTCGGAGTGGGATGGTACGTGTTTTGGTTTAGGGTTGAGGGTTGAGGTTGTGGTTTTTCAGCGCCTGCACAAAAGCCCCGACCATCAATGATATCATCCCTATATACTACATTCCATTATTCCCTGCTACAATCCCAATATAAACCCTATTTTCATGTGGTAGTTTCCATTTTCAACTTCCATTATCCCTATATGACAGCAGGCCTGGAAACCTGGACCATGGGCACTGTGTGGCCACTTTGCATCCTACCCTGGTTTACAGTTTGGGGGTTTGATTCAGTCAAGGATTAGGCGTCATATTGCTTGTGGCGGAACTTCCCCTTGTTGAAGCTTGTCTTGCGTGCATCAAAAAACCCTAAACCCTAGTGCTCTCCCCGTATTGATATCATCACCTTCACTCCAGCTCCACACGGTTTCAAGTGGCTCCGCTTGCGAGCTTCATCAACAGTCCCCCTCAAGAAGACAGAATATGGCTTTGGGCATATTATAATAAGATCCCCATATACCCCATATTCTATCTACTTAAAGGTGACCATACATCATCCAAAGGAAAGCCCTGAGACAAGGTCAGCAACATCTGAACACTGAGCAGGCCTATGGACAAAGCTTTAGATATTTGGCAAGCCCTGCGTAAACCCTTCTCCACACTAGGCTCAATGAACTGGAGCCAGTATACAAAACATGATTTTACTTGCAAAAAACGTTATGTGACGAGTTATGTGCCGTCCTGAAGGAGACAGCAAAACAAGAAGCGCAACTCGACCCTGAACTTGACAAGCCACTGACTTACTGGTTCTTAGTAGGGAACAACAGAAACTCCTCATTATATATAATCCCTATAGACTATTTTCCCTCAATCCCAACTGTAACCCCAATATATACCCTGCTATAGTGTAGGAGTTTCCATTTTCTTTTCCATTATCCCTATCTCGCCCGTATATATCCCCTTATTCCCTACTAACCCCTATTAGAACCAATACCCTACCCCTAAACTCGAAACCCAAAAACCTACATAAACCCTAAACCTTGGGTACTGCCCCCCCCACTCAGTAGCAGTTGGATAATAAGTATCATATGGTTATGTACAGCCCTTGATAGGACCCCTAATATAGACTGTTACTGGGCGGGGGCAGTACCCAATCTAAACCCTAAACCCTAAACCCTCAACCCTAAACCCTAAACCCTCAACCCTAAACCCCTAAACCCTAAACCCTAAACCCTAGACCCCTAGACCTGTAAAAGGAATGAGCAGAGCGAGCGGATCTTCAACCGCCGTGGCGGGCCCGTTGCCTTTGCGGCCTGCGTTGGCCTGGCGTTGCTGGTCCACCTTGCCTTGCAAATGGCCACCTGGAAGGCTTTAGGATTTGAGGTTTAGGGTTT